CACCAGCGCCAGCAGCACCTCCAGCTCTAACAGTGCCAACTCAAGCACCCTCAAACGTACCAGCGCCAGCAGCACCACCAGCGCCAACACCCCCAGCAGCTCCAGCTTCAGCACCTCCAGCAGATCCAGCAGCACCAACTCCAGCAAGACCGGTAGCTCCAGTACCGCCAGCAGCTCCGGCAGTACCTCGAGCAGCACCAGCAGCACCCCTAGTCCTAGCAGCTCCTGAACCACCAGGACGAGCCCCTCCGTGACCAGCAGCAACAGTAGTACCTCCAGCTCCATGAGCACGGCTCCAGCACCGAGCAAACCACTCGCGCAGCTACTGCGGAGAGAGTGGCTCCTGCCTTGAAGAAGCACCACGCGAGGCCACACGAGCAGACCCGCCACCCCCAGGCCCAGCACCCCAAGACTCAGCACCCCCAGGTTCAGCACCTCTAGACCCGGCACCCGCAGGCTCAGCCCCTCTAGCAGCACCAGGGTCAACAGCGACCTCGACAGGCTCGACTACGTCTACATGGGACACACCTGACGGGGCAGGACCCTGAGGGGGGAGGGGGTCTACCGAGGGAGGTCTTGGCGCAAGGAAGAGCGGCAGCAAGGGGAGGGGCGTAGTGCGGTAGGGGAAGAGACGGTAGTAAGGCACTGACTCGTCAAAGGTGACATCCTGGGAGGACAGAACACGGCGCGAGGTGGGGTGGTAAAACTGCCAACCAGGCGCGTCAGGGGGAAAGCCAAGGAAGACGCAGGGAACAGCACAGGGGGGCAGCTTGTCCGCAGACAAGTTGCGAACAAACGCCCAAGATCCCCAGACCCGAAATGCAGACGCATCGCCAACCTTCCCCGTCCACCGCAGGGTTGGGGGGGGGGGGGTTTGGCAAGGAGACCTGGGGCTGGAGGTTTAGCTGATACGCTGCGTACTGAACTGCAAACGACCACTGAAAATGGGGGGCAGCTGCATGCATCATGGACGTACGAGCGACGTCCATGACCATGCCAATGCGGTGCTCAGAAAACTTATTTTGCTGCGGAGAGGTCAGAAGCGTGAAGGTCTGGCGGATGCCCTGTGCTTGACAGAAGGCTCCTAGGCGGGAAGAGGAATAATCCCCGCCTCTGTCAGAGTGCAGACGCAGAATAGGAAAGTCCGAGCCGAAACTCTCTCTGAGCTGGAGACGAGCTGTGCGGATCCAGTCGATCAACACCTCAGTGACGTCGCCCTTGCTGCGCAGGGGGAAGACTGTGGTGTAACGCGAGTAGTCGTCAACCACCAAAAGGAAGTAACGCTCGTGCCCCTGTCCACGGACGCGGGCGGAGCCCCACACGTCCATGTGAAGAGTCTGCAGCGGAGCCTCCGTCGGAGGAAACTCGAAGGAGTGAGGGGCGGCGCGCTGTCGCCCCTCGACGCAGGGGACGCAAGTAGAGGCGGGCCCCGGAGGTAGGGGAGGGAGAGACCGGGGGAGACCAGAGACAAGGACACGAGAGGCCATGCCTTGGAGGCAAGGCAGGGAGGGGTGACCAAGGCGGTGGTGCCAAAGGAGAGTCTCGTGGGACAGGAGACGACACGAGCAGGGAGCAGACTCAGGACAAGACCTGGACGTTGTTGAGATGAACGAACAGGAATGGTTGAACTAACAGTGAAATCAGTACTAGTACCTAACCCTAGAATTGTGTACCCCCTATAGGCTAACCCACTGTAGCCTAAACAAGCACAACATATATAATGTTTGACACACCCCCATAGGCGAAGTGGGGGAGAACTAGGGGTCACAAAACCAGTCAAGGCAAAGCAAGGCAAAACAATCTCAGGGTGGATCTCAAGGATACCACACATATTCCGAGCACAAGCGAGTGGTTACAAGACCGGTTGACATGCAGGTTTATAATAGAGCAAGAGGTACAATGATCACAACCTAGCAAGAGTTAACATGCAGGTATATATATAGAGATCACAGTACAAACAGACTCAATAAGTAAGCAAGTGAGGTCCAGTAGGCACAAGGCCTAGAAGAGTGCAAAAGCGCTGATGGTTACAAGGCTGAAGCGCCTTGGTGAACACATCAGCAGTGTTGGCCTCAGAGGCCACGTAACGTAAACAAAGCTGACCACGCTACTGCAGCTCTCGAGCAAGGAAGTAACGCAGAGCAATGTGCTTCGTTCTGTGCTCCAGTCTGTGCTCCTGACACAAGGCATTGGTTGCCTTGTTGTCGACGTACAGCACTGGAGGAGAACGAGGCCGCTCTCCAAGGTCGGTCAGTAAGTAGGTGAGCCAGCGTAGCTCCTGGGCCGCCATGGCCCATGAGCTGAGAACAGAAGAAGAGCAAGTAGAACGCCAAGAAACTAAACCAGAGCCAAGACTGAAGGTGTAACTCTGAGACTACCGCTGAGTAGCCTGGTCGTCTACCCAAGAAGCGTCTGAGTGCCTAGTGAGAACAACTAGGTCTCGCCCTCCAAGCACTAGCCCCATGCCCGACATACTGCACAAGTAGCGCAACACCCTCTTAGCTGCATCCATGTGCTCCTTCCGGTGACGGCCGAGAGCGACATAGCGTGCAAGAATGCTAAGAGGGTATGCAAGGTCAGGTCGAGTGCAGGTCATCAGGTACATGAGGCAGCCCACAAGCTCTGGATACGGGCCACTCGGCTCTACGGACTCATCCGAAGGCAGAGCTGAGAACAAGTGACAGGTAGGCAGAGGACTGGGCTGAGGCGAGGAGTACGTAAAGCCGAAGCGCCAAAGGACCTGCTGCACCATGTGTGACTGAGTCAAGGTGATGGTGCGGCGTGCTCTGTCCCGGGTGATCCGCAAGCCAAGATAGCTTGTCAGTTCACCAAGGTCTGTGCACGTGTGTCTCTTCTGCAGCTTTGACTTCACGTGGGCGAGTGCAGCAGTGTAAGCAGTGGCAAAGACCTAGTCGTCGACGTACACGAGGATGTAGAACATCAGCAATGAGGTGTCGGTGCGTAGAAACTGCGACGGGTCAGCAGTAGAAGGCGCGAACCCAAGAGCAGCAAGTGTAGTCCTCACTATGTCGTGCCACTCACGTGGCGCCTGGCGGAGACCGTAGACTGGCCGTTGGAGGCTCCACTAGGTACCAGGAGGGAACGACCCAGTGAAGCCAGGTGGGCGGCGCAGCCAGATCTCCTCGTGCAGGCTGCCCTGTAGGAAAGCAGTGCTGAAGTCAAGAGAGTGGAGCTCGTAGTCACGCTGAGCGGCGACGTGCAGCAGAACCTGAAGAGTGGTCATCTTCGGGGTCGGGGAGAAGGTCTGGAAGAAGTCAACTCCCTCTCGCTGACTGAAGCCTCGTGCAACGTAACGCGCCTTGAAGACAAGCGGAGAGCCCAGCGGCCGCTTCACCCTAAAAATCCACATGCCACTGACGATATTCGCCCCAGGCGGGGAACCTCGTCGACGTAGGTGCCTGTGTACTTCCAGGAAGCCATCTCTGTGTCCATGGCTGTGGGTTGTCATCAGCGGTCTCGGTCCTCACTGGCGCTCCACTCACGCCATACTCCGAGCCCACGGAAAAATCTCCGAAGCAGCACTTTGCGCCGAAATCCACGCCGAACAGCAAGACATGGACCTGCAAGAAGAACGACACAAGAAAAAGGCATCAGTACAGGAATTCGCGTTTCACACTCAACGACGTTACAACAACAACAACAATAATCGACCAAGAATCGTACCTCCGTTCTGCCACCTCTGCAAAACTTCAGGGCACCCTCGTATGCTCTGCTCGAATCGACAGCAGTCAACGTTGCCTTTGTCAGAACATTGTAGCTTAGCTTAGTGGGGTAGCCCATAAGGGGTACAACCCAATTAGGGTTAGTACTTGTACCCAATTCATTCATAGTTCATTCATTCCTTGTTTCATCTCATGATATCAGAGCAGGTTCCGTAACGGGAAAGATTCCTAGGGCCCACCACTACGAATTTTTTTTTCCTGCCCGGAGCGCGCTCCACTCAGCCCGAGTTGCGCTCTGTGTGCTCTCCCTACCGGCGCGCCCTCGCTAGGCCCCTCACGGCCCCGTCGCGTTGCCCCTAGCGGCCCTCTCACGGCCCATTGCGCCGCCATTACGGCCCGTCACGCCGCCCTTAGTGGCCCGTCGCGCCGCCCCTTTCTGCGGCCCAGTCGCGCCGCCTCCTTCGCGGCCCCATCGTACCGCCCTCAGCGGCCGGTCGCCGCCTCCCCCTTGCGGCTCGTCGCCGCCTCCCCCCTTGCGGCCCGTCGCCGCCTCTTACAGCGGCCCCACCAACCCCGCGCGCCGCCCTAGCGGCCTCTTGCGCCGCCTGTCGGCCCCGCTTACCGCCCTTGCGGCCCTTCGAGCCGCCCTAGCGGCATTGGCGCCGCCCTTCCCGGCCCCGACGCCACCTTGGACGGCCCCGGCGCCTGCTCCTACGGCCTCGCCGCCTGCACCTACGGCCCCGGCGCCTGCTCCTACGTCCCCGGCCCCTGCTCCTACGGCCCCGGCGCCTTCTCCTACGGCCCCGGCGCCTGCTCCTACAGCCCCAGTGCCGCCCTTCCCGGCTCCGAGGGATTGACCCGAGGTGATCAGCCATAGGCCACCGAACCTCTTACCCTAGCTAGGGCACTCATGCACCAAAGATTTGCCAAAGGGGCATACCCCTTTTGGCCTAGCATGCCTAAACAACCCTTGTTTCTCGGCTCTGCCCGATGGAGCTCATACTCAAATCCGGGTCAATTATCCTCTTAGAAACCTCGAGGGTTGACCCGTTGACCATTTTAGATAATGACTTTGGTATTTAAGTTACACATGTAACTTTCTCGGATGCGGTCTTGTGGCTCCTAACACAAGGAAGAAGGGGTCGGGATGTGGAGGGGTGCAGTCTTCCTACCCCTAAAAGAGGTTGGGATGGGTCAAAATCACAAGGTGAACTGCACCACCTTCACGTTCTCCCTGGACTCCCGCCATACCATCCCCCCTTTTGCCTCCAATGTCACATGAAATGCCTCTACCTCTTTGACCCTAAAGAGGGTCTTTTATTTCCGGTCCTGGTCCGCCCAAGCCACCCTCTTGGTCGGTTTGATCCGAATGAAATCCCCTATCCTGATCGGCTCCAGGAGGGTTCGACGTCGGTCAAAGTCGACCTTCTCCTTCTCCTGTGCCTTATCATGGTTCTCAGCTGCCTTTGCCAGAGCCAGCTCCATCTCTGAGGACCTTTCATAGATAATTCCAGCTGCTGCATCGGCTTCCTTCTCGGTGGATAGCTCGGTCAGCTCCTTTACTTCCCATTCCGTCAAGGTACTACCCGTGATGTTGGGGTGGCGGCCATAGAGCAAGAAAAAGGGGGAGAATTCGGTGGAGGAATGAATGGAGGCCCGGTACCCCAACAAGACCCAGCAGATGTTCTCATCCCATTCAAATGGGTTGGTCTCACCAATGCCCCCTTTAGCGTCCTTTGGAACCTCTCAATAAGCCCCGAGCTCTGAGGATGATTGGGGCAAGAGAATTCATGATAAATTCCGAAATTTTCCAGGAGCACCCCGAACTCCCCATGAAAATGCTGCCCATTGTCCGTGTGGATCACGAGCGGGCAGCCGTGCATGGAGATGATTTTCTCAGCTACAAACGCGGCTGCTGTTGCTGAATCCGCATGCCTCACCGCCTTGCACTCAGGCCACTTGGTGAAGTGGTCCATGGCTGATATGATGTACCGGTTCCCCCCTTTTTCCGTCACCGGTAGTGGACGAAGTCGATCACCACCCTGTCCCATGGCTTTGTTACCGGGACCGGCCGCAGTTCCCCTTTTGCTGTCCAGGATCCCCTCTGGAAGGTGCAGGTAGGGCACCCTCGTACGAAGGCTGATACGTCACTCCCCATGCCATACCAGTCGTACTGCTTCCGAACCAGGTCGGTGGTGCGTTGGACCCCAAGGTGCCCCAGCCCGTGAAGGAGGCTAATGATCTCCCCCCTCTCTTCCTTCCTAGGGACCGGCTTTTTATCCCCCTTTGCCTTCAAGTTCCACAGCACCCCATCCCGTAGTTCGAACTTCTTTCCCGGGCCCGCACCCTCCGCTTCTCAGCCGTATCCCACGCCGGATCAACCTCCCCGCACTCCAGATAGAACAAGGTGTTGAGGTCATCCCAAATGTCTAGTGTGGTTGTCTCGGATGCGAGACTTCTACCCGGCTGCTCTTCCTCTTGGGTTCCGTGTGGGGATCCACCTCCCCCAGCCTCTTTTTCATCCCCCTTTGAGGTCCCGGCTTCCTCCTTCAATTTTCCCTTATCCCGTCTGACCTTTTTGAGAGGTTGTATCATTGGCGGTGACAACCTCCTCTCTTCCGACCCTTCATGGTCATTTTCCTGCCCTCCTACCCTTGGGGCCACCATCTCCTTGTCTCCCTTGTCCGCCTCCTCCTCCTCTTCCTCCTCTTCGTCCTCACCATCCCCTTCTCTGGATCCATCTGTTTCATCGCCCTCTTCTCCCAACCCTTCATCCCCATCTCCATCATCAGACTCTTCGGATCCGGCTTGCCCGACTTCTCCTTCTTCTTCCCCATCCCGCTTCTCCGTATTGCTATTCATTTCCTCTGGTTCACGGCCGTCCACCTCGTCTCCTTCCTCCTCACCACTATCCCCTCCGTCCCCTTCCCCATCAACCGAGCTGCTGCTTTCTTCCCCAGCTGGTGGTGGTGGAGTGACCGTGGGAACGGGTTTGTGAACATGGGGATGGGGTTTGAGGTGGGGGACAGGGGAGGTGAGTGTGCATATGAGAGTGCCTCCCCCCCGGACTGTTGATGCAGCCCCTGGTGCATGCGGCTAAGTGCATCCACATTCCGGTGTGTCTCCCCAGGCCGATAGGAGACGGTAAAGTCGTACTCTTGCAGGGGTAGACTCCACCTGGCCAACTTTCCTGTTAAGTCCTTGGCCGTCATTAGCCACTGGAGGGCTTGGTGGTCGGTCTGCAGCAGGAACCGGCTCCCATAGAGGTAGGGTCGGAAGTGTTTGATAGCCCACACCACTGCCAAGCACTCCCAGTGGGTGGACGACAGGTTCTTCTCCGCCCCCCTTGTCGTACGGCTAGCGTACACCACCACTCGCTCCGCCCCCTTCTCATCCTTTTGAGCTAGGATGGCCCCCCAGGCCGTAGCAGAGAAATCCGTCTGGAGGATAAAGGGTTTAGAAAAGTCTGGGAAAGCGAGAATGGGAGGGGAGATTAGAGCCAGTTCGAGGGCATTGAATGCTCTCTCACATTTGTCCGTCCACTCAAATGGGTTGTCCTTGTGCACCAGCTGCGTGAGGGAATGCGCCACCTTCGCATACCCCTTTATGAACCGCCGGTAGTAACTGGTGCACCCCAGGAACTCCCGGACCCCTCTCACATCCACCGGTGCCGCCATCATACTAATCGCCTCCACCTTTCCCGCATCCGGCTTCACCCCATCCCTTGTCACGATGTGCCCCAAGTAGATCGTGGAGTAGAACCCCAACTCGCATTTGTTGGGCTTGAGGAGCAGGTGGTTGGCCTTCACCCGTTCGAAGACATCCCGTAGGTGCTCCAAGTGCTCCTCCCAACTGTTGGAAAAGACTATAATATCATCGAGATAGGGAATGGCGTTAAGATGGGTGCGAAAAACGGTGGTCATGAGGCGTTGGAATGTGGCAGGGGCATTTTTCAATCCAAAAGGCATCCGAACATACTCATATTGGCCCGAGGAGGTAACAAAAGCGGTCTTAGGGATGTCCTCTTCGGCCACTCTGATGGTATGATAGGCCGATTTGACGTCGAGGACTGAGAAATACAGCGACCCCGTCATCCGGTTGAGGATGTCATCAATCCTCGGCATGGGAAACTGGTCCGCTGCTTCTGTTACCGCATTGAGGGGTCGGTAATCGATCACCACCCGATCACCAAAGTCCTTTTTCGGGATGACGATACAGGGGGGGGCCCAGGGGCTGTCGGAGGGTCGGATCACGCCTTGTTCTAAGAGGGCCGCTACCTCCTCTTCTATCCGAGCCCGTTCCGAGGGGGATACCCGGTATGGTTTGTGGGAGATGGGCTTGGCTGACCCAGTGGCAATGTGATGAAGGACGGTGGGGTGGGTGCCCAACGGTTCTGCTTCTGTGGCAAAGACCTCCCGATACTCTACCAGCAGCTTCCTCAGGTCCGTCTGTTGGGCCATCCCCAATTCATGGTTAAGTGACACCGGCAGGTCCTCAAAGGCAGGGCAGGCAACTCGAGTGGCCTCCTTTTTGAGGCTGTAATAACTACCGAGAACTATCCTTCCTTCATCCCCTTTTTCGGCTGCCAAGTATTGCCACCGCTCAGCTGCCGGGTAATTGAATAGCGCGAATAGGTAGTCCGGACTGATCCGGTGCCCCTTCCCCTCGTAAGCCAGCTCCCCTTCCTCCTTGTCCTCCACCAGGTACTCTTCCCCGTCCGTCATCGAATCCCCTTCCAATAGGTCCGTGATTTCCCCCTTTTCCTCCACAGCCCTCCGTGCCTCCTCATACCCCATGTCCCAGTGTGGTTCCCCAGCCTCATCATCCGATACCCCAAGGTCAGAGTAACGTTCCCCATCCGACCCAAAGAGACGAGGCATTTCGTCATCCGTCCCGACTTCTCCTTCTGGCTCACCTCACTCGGGTATGCCATCGAGCCCGTCTGCCCCGAGCTCCTCATCGAACTCATGCTCCTTGAGTTCTAGGGCTTCCAACTCCGCCCGATCCAACTCCTCTTCCTCCTGGACCCATGCCCAACAGTCCGCCTCCTCCTCCGTCAGCCGGATGCGCCCCTGCTCCTTGGCTAGGAGGAGCTGCTTCTCCTCTAGCCACCGCTGGAACTCCTTCTCATTCATCCCGGACCAATGCTGAGGAGGCTTGGTATCATTCCTGTGGGGTGTTTGGGGCGGGAGGGACACACAAGAGGGATGGCTACCCGTGCCCACGGGTCCAGTAGTGATAGGGACCGAATCTGTCTCTTTGGTATTGACCCGGTACACTATCTGCCATTTGCTGGTCATGATATCTGCATTAGCCGAATAGATCCAGTCATGTCCTAGCAGCATGTCATAGGTGTTCGCCCCGGTCACTGCTATGTCGATTGGGAGGGTCAGCTTCCCCACCCGCACCGGCACGTCAGGCAAAATCCCCCACGGCTTCGACGTCTCCCCACTAGAGGTGGTATACTCTATTGTGGTGTCCTGGAGGTAGGGTAGCAGCCCTAACTTCCTAGCGATGACGTGAGACAGGGCCGTTTGGGACGCACCGGAATCAACTATAGCAGTCAGACGATGCTTGCCTAGGTGGACATCGCATTGGGGGACTTGGAAGACTAGGTTGCTGGGGATCGGGTCCTCATGCCTAGACTCCCGTGGAGCAGCTGCCACTATCGAAACCCCTTGCATGGCGGCTGCCCCGTCCTCCTTCCCCTTATCCTCAGCCAGCTTCAGAGCATCCAACAACCCTTTTCTCACCTTGTCACTGTCGCTTATGTAATTCCAGACGCTGACGCTCACGGGGGTGAGTTTCAGCCGGTCCACCACATTATATGAGTTGGGTAGGGCGGATACCCGTGGCCTCCGTACGAACCGGGATCCCTTAGCTGCTTCCTCAGCCCCACCCGTCTGTGCCAGCTTCTTCCTCAACTCCTCCCTTGCCTCGTCTATTCCCCATCCTTCCGGGTCCCGAACCGCCTGCCTTTTCCGAGGTCCGACCAGCATATCCAGCTTTCCCTCTTCCCCGTTAAGAAATTCCGCTATAGTCGGGGCTTTTCCCTCTAGGACCTGCTGCATGACGTTCAGCGCCGCCCGCCCCTTTTGGGTGCAGTCCCGAGCCATATGCCCCTCCTTCCCGCACTGGTAACACTTAAATCTGCCTACTGCTGGCCTATGGAGTAAGCCGCCTCCCCTTCCCTGCTGCATCTGGGCTAACTGGATACTCAGCTTCTCCAGCTGCTTGGTGATCTTATCCACCTCGGACTCCTTATTCACCAGGTCCTTCTCTTTAGCAGCTTCCACCACCGGCTCTATCCCCATTGGTAACGAATAGGACACAAAGTACTTAGCAGCTTCCTCAGCCGCCTCCACAGAGATTGGCCTTCCTCCCAGCACTCTCTCCCTCAGGCCTTTGTCTCCCAGCCCCTCAATAAAGTGTCTCACCGCCATAGCCGTAGGGTAGTTGGGAATGTAGGCCGCAAGTTGCCTCACTTCGTCCGCCAACTCCATCACCGTCTACCCCGGTTTCTGCTTCAAAGCCGTGAGCATCTGCATGATATTAGCGGTTGATTCTCAAATAAAGCGCTCCTTAAAAGCCTTATCAAAGCTCGCCACGGACTGAAAATCCTTGCTCTCCGCCCACACCTAGGCGGAGTCCGTCAGGTGCATCAGTAGGTAATCTAACTGCTGCTCCTCGGGTATGGCGGCTAGGAAGCACCGTAATGCACGCGTGGCCTGACTAATCCACACCTTAGGGTCCGGTGAGCGCCCATCGAAGCGCGGCAACTGCCCCATAGCTGCAGCTATACTCGACATATTCGGAAAGGGACGGGTTCGTTTTCTTAGCCAAAGGGAGAGGAGAACCAGTATGGGCCACCACAAAATTAGGAACTTTCAAAATTTTCTGACCTTTAGCTTGCAACCTCCGGGTAGCTATGACCGTCCTAGACCACCCGTATGGTACTAACGACGCCTCTCCACTAGATCGGGGTCCTCTAAGTCGAGCTCTAGCCCTACTCCTCGGGCTATTCCTTCCTTAGAGCGAGCAACTCCTTAGTACTAGGCCGCCTGCAGCACCTCAGAGTAGTGTATGAAGGCTCAGAGCGATCCCACAATAGTAGCTTGGTAGCAATAGGTTGGGCAAGAGTAATCTCCTTAATCGATTATGCCTACACAAGCTTTGCCCTAGGTTCATATAGTGGGAGGGCATTTCCCACACCACTCAAATGCAACATTCCTAGAGGTCCTATCCCGAGGAAACACCCCTAGAACTTTCCTCTAAACCCCTCCTTGGTTTATTTGTTGAGTAGGAAGGAATGCTGCCAGCCCAATCCAATGCATTGCTTACCGAGGTGTGCACCAGGGCGGGCCGCTATCGGATTGGTTATGCTGCCATCTAGATCTGTTGTACCTCATTCCAACATTCGTACCAGGGGAAGATCCCGGAGCGGGTCTTCATCGGACTGAATGTTGCCATCCGGATCCGATGTTTCCAAGGTCCGCGCCAAGGGACGAACCCAATGCGATTTGCTACCGGACTGATTCACCCTAGCTGTGGTTCCACGGCTTATAGAAATATGCTGCCGCCTAGGTTCAATGCATCCTATCCGATGTTTCCAAGGTCCGCGCCAAGGGATGATCCCAAGGCGATTTGCTACCGGACTGATTCACCCTAGCTGTGGTTCCACGGCTTTATAGAAATATGCTGCCGCCTAGGTTCAATGCATCCTTCCCGATGTCCGAAACCATGGATCGAGCCCAAGTCGGGTCCCTATCCGGTTAAGATACCCCGACCGAGGTATCTAGGCAGCTTATAGATATGCTGCCGTCTAGATCCAACGTATTCGCCCACCAAGATTCGCGCCAGGGGACGAGCCCAAGGCGGTTTGCTACCGAATCATTTAACCTAGCCAAGGCGCTTTCAGGGCGAGGTCCGTACGAAGGGATTGACCCGAGGTGATTAGCCATAGGCTACCGAACCTCTTACCCTAGCTAGGGCACTCATGCACCAAAGATTTGCCAAAGGGGCATACCCCTATTGGCCTAGCATGCCTAAAGAACCCTTGTTTCTCGGCTCTGCCCGATGGAGCTCATACTCAAATCCGGGTCAATTATCCTCTTAGAAACCCCGAGGGTTGACCCGTTCACCATTCTAGCTAATGACTTTGGTATTTAAGTTACACATGTAACTTTCTCGGATGCGGTCTTGTGGCTCCTAACACAAGGAAGAAGGGGTCGGGATGTGGAGGGGTGCGGTCTTCCTACCCCTAAAAGAGGTTGGGATGGGTCAAAATCACAAGGTGAACTGCACCACCTTCACATTCTCCGTGGACTCCCGCCATACCATCCCCCCTTTTGCCTCCAATGTCACATGAAATGCCTCTACCTCTTTGACCCTAAAGAGGGTCTTTTATTTCCGGTCCTGGTCCGCCCAAGCCACCCTCTTGGTCGGTTTGATCCGAATGAAATCCCCTATCCTGATCGGCTCCATGAGGGTTCAACGTCGGTCAAAGTCGACCTTCTCCTTCTCCTGTGCCTTATCATGGTTCTCAGCTGCCTTTGCCAGAGCCAGCTCCATCTCCGAGGACCTTTCATAGATAAGTCTAGCTGCTGCATCGGCTTCCTCCTCGGTCGATAGCTCGGTCAGCTCCTTTACTTCCCATTCCGTCAAGGTACTACCCGGGATGTTGTGGTGGCAGAGGCAAAGAGTTCTCCTCTGGCCTTCTGCGAGCCTACTGTCGTGCACGAGGCGTCCGCCAGATCTTCACGCTTCCGGACTCTCCACAGCAAAATGGGATTGCTGAGCGCCGCACTGGCATGGTCATGGACGTCGCTCGTACGTCCATGATGCATGCGGCTGCCCCCCATTTTCTGTGGCCGCTAGCGGTCCGGTACGCGGCGCATCAGATCAACCTTCAGCCCAAGGTCTCCATGCCGAAGACCTCCCCAGCTTTGCTGTGGACGGGGAAGGTTGGCGATGCGTTGGCGTTCCGTGTCTTGGGATCTCGGGCGTTTGTCCGCGACTTGTCTGCGGACAAGCTGTCCCCTCGTGCTGCTCCCTGTGTCTTCCTGGGTTTCCCCCGTGACGCGCCACGGTGGCAGTTCTACCACCCCACCTCTCGCCGTGTTCTGTCCTCCCAGGATGTCACGTTCGACGAGTCCGTCCCCTACTACCGTCTCTTCCCCTACCGCACTCCGTCCCTCTCCCCGCCACCGCTCTTCCTTGTGCCACGTCCCCCGCCGGTAGACCCCCTCCCCCCTCAGGGTCCTGCCCCTTCAGGTGTGTCCCAGGTAGACGCTGTTGAGCCTGTCGAGGTCGCTGGTGACTCTGGTGCTGCTCAGGGTTCTGAGCCTGGGGGTGCTGACTCTGGGGGTACTGAGCGTGTGGGTGCTACTCCTGGAGGTGCTGAGCCTGAGGGTACTATGACTGGGGGTGCTGAGCCTGGGGGTTCTGAGTCTGGGGGTGTTGAGCCTGGGGGTGCTACGCCAGGGGGTGCTGAGCCTGGGGATGCTGAGCCTGGGGGTGCTACGCCTGGAGGTGCTAAGCCTAGGGGTGCGGAGCCTGAGGGAGCTAGGCCTGCTGGTGCTGTACCTGCCGGTTCTCCGGGTGCTTCGTCTTGCCGGGAGCCTTTCTCTCCACACGAGCTGCGTGAGTGGTTTGCCCGGCGCTGGAGGCGAGCTTCAGGAGCTGGAGGTGCTACGGGTACTGGAGGTTCTACTGCTGCTGAGGGTGCTGGTGCCGCGGGTCCCGGAGGTGCTCGTACTGGGAGTACTAAAGCTGCTGGGCCTGCAGGTACTTCTGGAGCTGGAGCTGCTGCGGGTGTTGGCGCGGAGGCTACTGCTGTCGGTCCTGGAGGCGGTCCTACTGAGGGTACTACTGGTACTGCTGGAGGTACTGGAGCTAGAGCCGCTACTGGTGCTGGTGCTGCCACTGCGGGTGCAGGTGCTGTCCCTGCTGTGTCTGGAGTCGCCGCGCAGCCTCGGCCGTAATTCGTTCCGCTCCTTCAGCAGGTTCTTGGTCTCCCGTCTTCTACTAGTCCTCCTCCTCCCTTAGAGTGTTCACAGCCTGTTCCATCGCAGTTACAGTTACAGCCGGCCTCCTCACTACCTGCGCCGTCTCCCTACACTGGTCCTACTGTAGGTCTTACTGAGCGTTGTGAGCCTGCGTCTCGCCCTGCGTCGCCTGTCCGTACTGCTCGCACTAGTGGTCGCGGTTTGCGTCAGTGTCCTCGTCCTTTCCCGGGCACGCACCGGATGTCTCTCCGTCCATCCACTACTCCTCTGCGTGCCCCTTTGCCCTCTCCTTCTGAGTCTTCTCTTCCTGCTCTTACCGACCCGGAGTCGGACTCTCTTTGTGCTGCCACTCCTACTGTCACGCGTCTCCTAGCTACTGTTGTCACGGACCCTTCCTTTGAGTCCACTGCTGCGTCTGCCCTAGTTGCTGAGCTCGTCGACTTTGCTGCTCACTTTCGCCTAAACTACGATGCTAGCCTTGTTGCTGAGTCTGCGTCTGTCGGTCCTCCCTCCGTCGGGGGTGAGTGTGCTATTGGCACGGACGTCCTTGAGGACAAGCAGGAGGAGTTCCAGTGTCTAGCTGCTGCTTCACCTCATCTTGTGTCCGTACTGCTTACCCCTGAGGGAGACCCGGTTGCACTTGACATCCCGACTCGGCGCTCTTACGCGGAGGCGATAGAGGGTCCCTACTCCTCTAAGTGGCAGGCAGCTATGGACGCAGAGATGGCTTCCTGGAAGTCCACAGGCACCTACGTTGACCGTGTTCCCCCTTCTGGGGCAAACATCGTCAGTGGCATGTGGATTTTCAGGGTGAAGCGGCTGCCGGGTTCTCCGCCTATCTTTAAGGCGCGTTACGTGGCTCGTGGCTTCAGTCAGCGGCAGGGAGTTGACTACTTTCAGACCTTCTCTCCCACCCCAAAGATGACCACTCTTCAGGTAGTGCTTCACATAGCTGCTCACCGTGACTACGAGCTACACTCTCTTGACTTCAGCACTGCTTTCTTGCAGGGCAGCCTGCACGAGGAGATCTGGCTGCGCCGCCCACTTGGCTTCACTGGGACTTTTCTTCCTAGCGCCTAGTGGAGCCTCTGGCGGCCAGTCTACGCTCTTCGCCAGGCACTGTGTGAGTGGCACAACACACTGAGGACTACACTTGCGGCTCTTGGGTTTGCTCCCTCTACTACCAACCCGTCGTTGTTTCTGCGCACCGACACTTCTTTGCCGCCGTTCTACATCCTCGTATACGTCGACGACTTGGTCTTTGCCACAGCTGACACTGCTGGACTTGCCCACGTGAAGTCCAAGCTGCAGAAGAGACTCACGTGCACTGACCTGGGTGAACTGCGCAGCTACCTTGGCTTGCAGACCACTCGGGACAGAGCATGCCGCACCATTACCCTGACTAAGTCACACATGGTGCAGCAGGTCCTTCAGCA